ACTTAGTAAGTATACTGACAACCCCTATAAGTCCCCAGTTACTAAATCCCCCTGACCCTCCAAGTAGTATCCCCCCTAGGGGTTTAGGATTTAGGGTTTAGGGTTCAGAGTCTAAACGCCTAGCATCCCCCTTGATAATCCTTATAGTAGTTCTCTATTTATAGCCCTTCTAGAACTTCGTTTAGGGAGTTAAGACTCTAGCTCAGGGTGTTAAGGGTTTCGGGTTTCCCTAAGCAGCCCTGAACCCTATAAATCCAAAACTCTGAGCCGTGGACGGTACACCGTCTAAGCCCTGCAACTCCACAAGCCCAACAAATCTAATAGACCCTCAAACTTTTCCAAGGCCCAGAGATGTCTGACTCAGCGCTAACTTCTACACTCTACAAGAACTCACTGCAAAACCAACTGGCTCAGCCCTTTGTTACCCGCCAGAAGAGCTTCACATAAGATGTCCTAATCGGTCAGCCCTTCCAGTTTTGAAAATCCTGAAGCCTACATGAAACATACATATCCCTGGAACCATTTCAAAGGACCTCTAAAACTTCGATCCTGGCTTGTTTGCAGGACTGCAACTTGGACTGCCAGAGTGGGACGCCCCTCGTGGCTGCAGCGGGCGCGGGTCACGTGCAGGCTTCAGGGGAATCTGAGGTTCAGTTAGGCTACTGCACCCACCTTATCATGGGACCTTTAGAAAGTTATGCGTATTACAAGTTTTGGCCATTGTGAACGGGTGGGGAAAGTATGGTCTCTGGGTATGTCGGACGATTTCCTCAACATGTGTGCTTCCCCTTTGCAACAAGTAGGCTAGGCATCTGTTCATCCTTTCACTGCGAGCACGTCTAGCCCTCGTCTTGCTCTGTAAGTTTCTAGAGTTGCTAGAGTCACGTATGATCTTTTGCAAGCTTAGCTGGAGTGAAGGTTTTTGGATGAGAAGTTTCCTTCCTAACAGTAGTTCTGCCGTGTCCGTCCTGTATACTTCTTGTGCCTGGCGGCCTAGCACCACCATGGATGCTCAAAGTCCTGCATGACCTTAAGATACTACAATACCAAAAGTCCCCAGGTATAAGGTATGTAGGGTTATGCAGGGTTTTTGGAATCAACCATATCAAGAGCATGGCGGTGGCCATGATGACGGTGCTGCATGCTGGCTCGAGCCCACAGAGTCGAGGGATGTTTGGGAAACTACTGTTTAGGTTGTAGGTTTAGGGGAATTCCAGCCAATAATGGAGAATTAAATGTCACATGAAAAATGGAATGGAACAGTGGTTATGTAGGGTGGTTATGTTGGGTTTTGAGATACGTGGAGTGTTGCTTGGGGCACTAGAGGCTGGAGACCTACAAGCTCACCAAGAGCGATCTATGTACCTAATCAGAGGGATTAGTACCTTGTACTTTGGTATCTTCACTGTTTGAAGGGTCGAAGGCTACCTAAATATAACCCCATTATAGTAGTATATAACCCCAATATACTAAAGTAGCTTCCATTTTCTTTTCCATTATCCCAATATCACCCCAAGTTTGATTGCTATTCTAGGTAGGGCTGAGGATTCTGGCCCTCCATGGAGCCCCACTCTTCACTGGAATCTATACTTCAAAATACCAATCTGGACCTGACGGGCAACAAGCCTGCCTATCTCTACCGTTGCAGCTGTCGTTGTGGGTGCTCAGCTGTAGGTCTTGGATCCCAGAAGTGCAGGCAAGTACCCCAAGAACAGGGGCACAGTAGGTCTCGGTAGAGCTGAAGACCAACATCTACAAGTCCTTAATGCTTGTCGGAGCCGTTTTCGGAGGTTGTGGAGCTGCTAGTCTGTCATGAAGCAGATGTGAACAGGACGACTGTGGGTGAGGGCAGGCGAGTCGACATGGGTTCGCTTACCTTGGCATGATCCCGTTTCTGGAAACTTTGGGGTATGCTGCTGGGAGCCCCCTGGCCATTGCCTGTTTATTTCCATGTCTGGTTGTCATCCACATGATCAAACAATCCTGTAGTTCTCATACGATTTGTCACTTGGCAGCCTTACCAACATCCACTTGTTGTGGTGGTACCCGCTAAACCCTTAACCGCGTACTGGTTGCAATGAAGCAGAACCAGGTCACACTGCCAGTTTGAGGTTCTTCGTGGGCGCATCGTGCTGCGGTTCCGGCTTTTACAGCATCCAACCGGGCCGCTGCCCAGATCTATAGAACGTCATGTCTGCACATTCTACGCGTTGCAGGCTAGCCTCATGCCGTAGATCTTGTCAAGGGAGACCTGCTCATCCTAGCTGTTTCGTGGCGTTCCTTCTGTACCAGGACAAACATCTCTGGCACAGCCCTGCATACTGCTGCAGCCGCAGGGCATGTGGAGGTCCCCGGGAGCATCCGGGTTCTTGCTGCAAGAAACCTTTCTGCAAGCCGCAATTGCCTACAGAATCTTATAGTACTTGTATATCTCTAAGATCACGAAGCCTCGTTCTTTGAGACCCCCCCCATTTCATGCTCTGGGGGTTGCCCTTCAGCGAACCCCCCAACCCAATGTTTTTGCCGGCGCGCTGGTGTTGAGAAACTCCCCTTTGAAAGGATTCACGGGTTGGGTCTTCGCTGTTGTCTTTAGGATTTGGGGCAGGCCCACGGCCCAATTCATTCTCAACGCAGTTTACACATTTCTGGGTTGTAAGAGTCACCTAGTATGATACGGCCCCTAGTACATGAAGAACTCCAAAAAAGGGACCATTGACAACCTTCCACATGAACCCTAAACTTTAATCAAACCCTAAACCATGAGCTTCAGTTCCCGTAAGCGTCCAGGGACCCAAATAAAAGGGCTTTGGGGCCCAAATACTATACCATTCATGGTATTTGGGCCCTAAAACCCCATGGGTCCTTGGACCCTTGGGGTTCTTCATTTCTTCCGGAAGCTTTGAGCCCACTAGTTCCACGAGACGCATTCTCGTGCAAAGCCAGGCAAGCAGAGAGGCTACTGCCCAGGACCCCCCCCAGTGCCCTCGATTGGGGTTATAGGGTCCCTACTAGGGGGTACTTCGGCCGGAATACAGAGTATTCTGAAAGTCTAGGTTGTTAATTAGGGTGATGATTGGGTAATACCTTTCGGTGCCCGTCGTAGGCGCAAGATACGGGAACTGGTGATAACAAATATCATCTACGCCCAATGCCCTGTGGATAAGAATCTTCCCCTTCTCGGTGCGTTTCCGCAGGGGTGCAAGATGCTGTATGTTTAACTATGCAGTAGTCACGTAAGTAGTCCCACCTAGAGTCATTAGCCTTAGGCCCCCTTGTTTGGGCATATGTAGGATACTCTAGGTAGCAATATAAAGCCCTAGAGCCCAAACCCCAGGAAACCATGCGCACAAGCCTAACACAACTCGCGCCTCTTATCCATTCCTTAGTCAGTCCCCTGAACCTTCAAGCCCTAATACGTAAAAAACCCACAAGTTGAGTGTAGGGTTAACCGCAAGCGGCGTGAGACTTCCGCGTCGCGGTCTGCCGTTGAAGGTGGTCGAAGCCCTAATTGCAGCTGCTGCCGACGTTAACAAGGCTGGGATGGGATTCCAAGGGGGAAATATGTTCCAGGGATTATGTAGGGATACATACAGGTTGATAGGGGAGATTATCCCAAAATGGGGGGAGAATCAAATGGATAAGAACCTGGAAATGAAATCAAACTTGGGTTCTATAGCGTTTATTGGAAATAGTTGTCAATACTCCTTGAGGTCTGTTCGAGATACCCCACAGGATGATTATGAAAGGAATGTAGGACCATGACATTAGCGTTTCTCTCGGATTTTACAGCAGTGTATTACACTGTTTTGCTGTGTAGGGTTTTGGCGGGATGGGAGGTAAGGTTTAGGGTTTAGGGTTTAGGGTTTAGGGCAGGCATTGGTCTAGATAAAGATGTTGGAATTACGGGATGCTTGTGTTTGGGTAGTCCAAGTTTCCATCAATCCTCAAGAGTGTGAATGACAAACTGCCCTTGCACATGTGCAAGCTTGAGTTGCTATTGTCATATGTTCACAGAAGTTTGCTATGCCAGTCCACGACGGCATGGCTTCAAGACGTTTAGTCTAAGTCCCCCTTAAGTAGATAGAATATGGGATATATGGGGATCTTATCATAATATACCCGAAGCCATATTCTATCTACTCAAGGGGGGCTATAGTCTAGTGCACACGAAATACGTCGGACCACCTCGCTGCCTTTTCTCCCTTGGCTCAGTGCTCCCTCAAATTCCCCAGAGCCCAATACACCTCAAAGAAGGAATATAGCCCAAATGGTATTAGGGACCCCAATATGATTTAAGCTATTCTCCTTAATTAAGGGGTATTGGGCTGCCTGGGTTAGTGGTATTCTTGAGTTGGAACGTAATCCTCCACCACCCCTTCCTCAAGGGTTTAGGGTTTAGGGTTTTTTTGCGAAGAAATGGATGCAAAGTTTGTCAACTCCTTGTGTGCTCGGAGGTCTGCATACGTGGAACCGCGCTTCTCGCAGCAGCGGCTGCGGGTCACTATGACACTGTGTGCAGGCCTAGTGACTTTGAGACTAGGAGTTTTACATGAACCCCACAAGTTTTGGGTTTGGGGTTCAATAGCATATAGAATAGTAGGTTTTTGAGTGGTTTGTAAAAGGTTTTGACTATTATTTGCTTACCCTAGGGGCTGAGGTCATCTGCATTCTGCATGCGCCACGTGTCATTGCAATGAAACAGCCCGTTCCGATGGTTGATGCCATTTAGGGGTTAGGGTTTAGCATGCAGGCCTTGTCACAGGGAGCCTGAACGGGACCCAAGTGGATGCGTTTAGGGTTTAGCCAGAGGCTAACCCTAAACCCTAAACCGCATTAGGGTTCTCCAAGCCTTTTCTATTGCATTCGTAAAGCCCATGGGTGTACCTAAAAGGCTACCTAAGCCCCCATACTCTAGCCTATCCCTTTTTCAGGGTAGCTAACTTGATGGCCGGTATACCTTCTATCTACGAAGCTAGATATGTGAATGTACATGGGTTTCGATCTAGGCACTCATCATCAGTTTGCGTTCTGGCCGCTCGTGTCGTAAACCACAAAGGACCCCGTTCCTTCAGCAATTTTCAGGTGTAGGGTTTAGTAGGTGCCATGTTGGCATGTTAGTGTGAGGGGAAGGTAAATTCGCAACCCAGCGCGTTTAACGTACCAGTTACAATTGGGCTATAAGTCCTCCAAGCAGCAGGCATGGAGTTGAATTTGTTCTGTCCCTGGCTATTTGAACATCCAGCAGTAGCATGCTTTTCGTGGGTCCCATTTCGAGCCCAGGTGGCTGAGCCAGTTGTTCATGACGACAAACCTAAACCCTTAGATCCTCAACCCTTAACCCTCAACTTAAACTTTCAAACCCTAAACCATTAAACCCTTAAATCCTAAACCCTCAACCTAAGCTGAGGATGTTGGGGTTCAAAAGCCAAAGGTCTGCAGCAGAAGGGATTTGGCCGAAGGATGAAGATTTGGATCAAATTAAGTTACTAGAATAAGGAAATTCCATTATGTTCGAGGTATATATCTATATGTATGTGTATATATATAGATATAGGGGTAACTTCTGCGCCATCAAGCATTAGAGACATGTGGCAAAACTCTTGCCAAGAAAGGACCCCTGATTTTAGAAATCCCCCAGAAGCCAACTGACTCTGGCATCAAAGCCTACTGGGAAGATTCTGAGCTGCTTTAATAACTACGCACTGTTTCAGAAACTTCGATACAAGGTTTTCTTGCATATGATTACGGCGCCGTAGACGACATTTTAAGCTGCTGCTATAATCGGTGGTCTGGCAGCAGGCTCGTGGAATCTTCCGCCGACATCCGCAACTCTAGCATGACGCCCGACCTGCACATCAGCCCTTAGCCGTACTACTCCTGAATGAGGGAGTTCTTGTGGAGTTTAGTCCGGCTAAGCGTCTGGCCTGCAGCCAGGGCCAGGGTTGGGGTAGCTCAGGGTTCAGGGTTTAGGGTTGACCGATTTGGGTTAGCTACATATGCAGGAGCGCCCGCCAAGTCCATTTTGATTGTACTCTGGGTCATGGCCCCCTACAATCAAGCCTTAAACCCTAAACCCGAACCCAAAACCTTGAACCATGACCCCAAACTTGCCGTAAGTAGCCAGCGCCTGCCTACGTTGATCATAACATAATGTACCTCATCAAAAAGTACAGCCAGCTTATTCCAAGGTTGAAACAATGGGCCCCTAGTATGGGCCCTTAAGCCTGGGATATTCATATACATACCATAAACCCTACATGCACCCTAAAGGGCCCCTAGAGTTGAAACCTTAGGCTTATGTTTATTAACTTACTGGTTGTTAGTAGGGAATGAGGGAATGTAATCCCTATACAATCCCTGCATAAAATACTCCCTTTATTCCTGACTAAGCCCAGACCCTATAACATATTCCCTCATTTCCTATATATATATACACATTATAGTCCCCTTATCGCTAAACTCTGAACCCTAAATCATCACTTTGGGTATTCTAAAGCCTGCACCGATTTCAGATGCGGTTTAGGCGTTTAGGGTTTAGGGGTTTAGAGGTTTAGGGGTTGAGGGTTTAGGGTTTTAGGGTTTCAGGCTTTTAGAGTTTTGGGGTTCAGGGTTTTGAAGCTGACTGGGGCTTAGTAGGGAACGAGGGAATATATTATGTAGGGTCTCAGGTTTAGGGTCTGTGGCTGGTTGTAAATGTGTATAGTGCAGGTCCTCAATCGGATACTGGAACTTCTGTAGGCCCGTGTCACGCCTGTAAGCCGCCTCGAAAAAAAACAGTTTCCACTTCACTGTTAATGTCCTTTTCCATTTCATTCCCGACCACTGGCAATTAGGCCCCTGTATTATCCAGAAATCATTTGCCCAAGGAGTGCCTGGGACCCAGCGGAAGCTGCAGCCTCTGAGGGCCATTTCGAGATTGCGCGGATGCTGCGCCACGACAGCCTCATGGAGGCTTTCCAGTGGTTCTTCTGGCGTAGTTCAAGTAAGACTTGGCTATACGGAGGCTTTGGGCCCCTTAAGGGTTGGCAGCGTAGTTTAGCGCTTGAGGCTTAGGGTTTATGCCTCGTGGTCGGCGTTCAGGGTCCTCGAAGATTCCACGCCCATCCTACTAAACCCTAAATATTGATATTCCTAGAGACTAAACCCGAAATCATAAAACAGCATTCGCCTATGTAATCCTACATAACCATTATACTCCCAAAACATTAGGGGGAGCTGATTGCATTGGCGGGGAGGGAATATAGACAGTACAATATGGCTACAGAAAAAGATATACTTTACCACATAATATAGGAATCTAAACCGTCTAAACCCTAAACCCTGTATATACACACCCTAAAGCCTAAACCCTAAACCCCAAAACACAGGTGTAATATAGGGATAAGGATAGGGATCAATTGCCCCACTTTTCCTTCACAGCACCAAGAACAAGAAGGGGGCCAAGCCTCAGAATGCAGGCAGGGGTTGAGGGTTTAGGGTTTTAGGGCTTTTGGGGTTTAGGGTTTAGGGTTTTAGGGCTTTTGGGGTTTAGGGTTTAGGGCTTTCGGGGTTTTGGGTTGAGGGTTTAGGATTGAGGGTTTAACCCTGAGCCACGACATGCGGCCATGGCCGACCTTGTTCGATTGACACCCGCAGGAGCAGCAAATAGATGCAAATAGTGCCAGCCGGAAGGATTCAGGATACATTGTATAAATCTACACATGCACGCACATGTATATATATATATATATGATTTTATATGTATACATATCTTAGGCCCTCTTGTGTATGATTCTGCATTCCCCGCTCACAACCAGAAAAATTCGGAGAGCTCCGAGCTGCCTGTGCTTAACAGACCGCAGGACCCCTTTCTTTTGTGTCCAGTGCAGGAATTGGGGTTCATCTACACCACTTCCTGCTGAGCGCGTTTGATGCCGTATGGTGAGCCACTGTGATATGCTGAAGGAAGCGCTGAAGGAAGCGTTTCATGCTTTGGGGAACAAGGGCTCGAGAGTTAGGCTTTTGAGCTTTCCCTAATGGCCTTCGTGCACACATAAGTCCTTGCTTTAGAATGAGCAGAACAGCGCAGAGGGCTTCAGAATGATTCACGGTTTTCTGTTTTCCAACCCCACTACAACCGTCGCAAGCCTGGTGCTGTACAATTTGCAATTATCTTGACTTGCTACTGCTACTACTATCATTGCTACTACTGTTGCTATGGCTGCTACTGCTCCTGCTCCTCCTCCTACTACTCCTGCTACTCCTGCTGCTGCTGTTCTTGCAGGTACTACTACTGCTATTACTATTACGCAAGGAATACCAGTCTGCTCTGCAAGAAATGTGGCCCCCAGAGGATGCACATAGTCGTTCTTACTGCTAAGTTGGGAATTCTACCATGGTCTCCAATATGGGGATGTAGAATCTATACGGATGTATCGGGGTATATGGGAATATGTGAGAAGCCCAGCATTTCCATGGATGATTGGTCCTGGCTTACACTGGTTTCTGAGGTGCCCTCATCGTTGGCATGCCAGAACAAGGAACCAGGTGCAGGATAGTTCGGCTTTTGGTTTTTGGATTTTGGGGGATCAGAGCCATATCGCATGCTCTTATCGGACAACAGGTATCACGTACCATTGCTTAGAACGTGGGAAGCCACGATGTTCAGGAGTCTGGGTTGGGACAAGGCTTCCAACACCCACTCAAAGACAAGGTAGATTTCCTGGGATCTTGAAACCCGGAGCCTTTGAGCTGAGACTTATGATGTCACGTTCAACTGAACTGTAGAAGAGCCACGCATGTATACGTACCTCACGAGCCCACTGCAATTGGTTACCCCGGCAGGGTTTAGGCTGATTCTTGTTTGTCCAGCATCCCGGCTATCGCTATCTATCCGACGGTCCTTCTCTAAATATGGCATGACTTTGTTCCCCTCATAAACCTTACAGAAATACAGGATAATATAGACCCGAACCCCACTACTAAGCAAATGGGCCCTTCGCTGAGTGCGCAGAGTCAACCTGACCGGGTTTCAAGAGACCTTCTCGCATGTCTCACCCATCACATTTTCGGACAGTGCTAAGCCCCTAAACCCTAAACCTTAAATCACACCTCACACTCGGAGGGAATCCCAACGTACCCTTACAAAGATTGTTTACAGTTCTCTGAGAAAGGGGCCTGCATTCTGGTTTGGTTTCACAGCCCCCAAAACGAAAACTACCTAGATCTTATGCCCTGCTTCCTTTTTTAGGAAACCTCGTGTTGGATGGAGAAGATGCAAAGCATAAAGTTGGGTACCCCAAAGAGTAGGGTATAAACTGCATACCGCCCCCCACCCAGTAACAGTTGGATAATAGTCATAGTATACTTGTTTATAGAATTCAATATTTGCCTTATTTTGGCTGCTACTGGGTGGGTGCAGCACCCAAGGGTGTAAGGGTCTAGGGAAGCCAGGAGAGATATGGGCGCAAACATTAAATCTCCTCCCCTGATAATAACAAGTCCGCTATCTTTCTGGTGGCTAGTGGGAGTAAAGCAATACATTGTATAGGGATTACATTCCCGCATTCCCTACCAACCACTTGTAAGTATGTAGTATCATGATATTTACTGGAAATATGTTTGTTATAGGGGTGCGCTGTTTTATGTTAGGATCACGCGATTATCCCAATATAACTCCAATATATACCCTTTACAATATATGCTTCCATTTCCTTTTCCATTAGCCCAATAACCCCAACATATACCCTATTTGGTGTGAATTCTTTGCAGTCCTTCATGATTTTGAAAGGACAGTGGAAGAGTGAATTTGGGCATTATGTAACGGGGGTATATTACGGGTATAGACGGGTGTTGTACAGGGAGTTATGGAAATTCCAGCCCCCTCCCACCCAGCCCCCCCCCTCTAGACACTCAACCCCTGCGGGCGCTTTAGCATCAGAAGGAGTCCAGGAGGCGGGTTTTAGCTTGGGTGGGATACTATCATATGAGCTATAGTCTAAACTCCTTCAAGAGCGGTTCCTATAGGGGATTTAGGGTTCAAAAAAGGGCTTAGGAAAGTTTGGGGTTTTGATTCTGAACTCCTTAAGTGGGGGTTATATAGGGGGTTACTATACGGGTTATTAAGGGGGATACTAGGAGTTTAGACTATAGCTCACCTCAATTCATACCCTAAACCCTAAACAGCGTACTTTTGTGCGGCGGATTCCTTGTGTTGATGCGAAAGCTTACCGCTTGTTAGTAGGGAATAAGGGAATATGATCCTTATATAACCCCCACATAATATATTCCTCTATTCCCTATTATACTAAGAACCGGTAAAAAATGATTCTTGTTCCGAGGGGAATAGGTCGACGATAATATCGCCTGAAGGTTTATCTTGATTCTGCTGGGTTTTACTACCCACAGTTTCAACCTCATTTTCCACCATGATCTGTTCGATTTCCCTATACAAGCAGTATCTAAACCCTGAATAATATTCCCACATTACCCATGGTTAGTAACAAGCCCAATGGGAACCCTAAACCCTCAGCCTTAAACAGTGCTCCACCGAAGAAGACCCTTGCTTGTTGGCAACCTGCGCAAGCAAAATTGCTCTCAGTCCGGGGTTTACGGTTTAGGGCTGCAGTCATAGTTGCACCCAAGTAGTTGTTCATGTAGACCCCTGACAAATAAAACCTCTCCTTTAAAGAGCCTTTAAATTAGGATCCCTATGACAATCCCTTGGATATCGGTAAGCTATGTCTGAATTTGAAGAGGGTAGGAATCTCGAGTATAATTTTTGATATCGCGCGCATACGCAGTCAAGATTTGTTTGGACAGCACAGTTGCTGTCACGTCGTAGTGGCAACCTTCGTCAGAGGGTTTAGTGAGCCCAACCCTCTCAACAAGTACCCCATAGCTTTCTTATGATGATAGTGGGGCTCAAATTTGGGGAGGTCAGGGCTCTCTAGACCCTGAACCCTAAATTTGGGTCCCCTAAACTCAAAACCATACATCTTTATGACCTCCAATATTCTATACCCCAAATCCTGGAGTGGTCCTGACAAAGCTTTGGTTCTTGAACCCCCTAAATCCTACACTTCTCTGAGGAAGTGGGTTTTGACCTGGCTGCTGCCGATTATGATGGCCTGGGCCCAACGGACCGCTTTGTGTGAAATTATGTTGGTTTTAACTTCTTTGGGGTTAAGGGTCGTTTAGGATTAGGGTTCAGGGTTCCGGTTTAGGATTTAGGGTTCAGGGTTTGTCGAAGTCCCCTGACAAATACTAACATTCTCTGTAATCCTAAGAGGTGAGAGCTTCCTTCTACTGCGTACTCCCTCGGAATGGCGCAAACAGCTTCTACCCGCAGAGCTCACTACTTTCACCAGAAGCACCTGCTGAAGCTTGAAGCATAACCTCAGGCCTCTGACCCAATGGGTAGTTTCCCACAATAGGTCGGCCCCAATATTGACCCATTTTTTCATCCTTATTATGGGGAAAAGGTACCCTGATTCTGGACCCCGACGTACATTCAAGTCTTCAAGTAGGCCGCTCCAGTCATTCATCCGCCATGCTTCAAAACACTCACGGGTTCGCCTCATCCTCGGTAGGCATTTGGGAAACATCCTTAAAACAGCATCCATCGAGTCCATAGCGCGGGTCTTTAAAACCAACATCTTATACCCCCCAGCTAGCGTATACCAGCTTTCCCTTCGCAGAAACCACTCCCGAGGCTCCGCGTTGTAAGAAGGAACTGGAAGGTCGGTCACGGTTCGTCTTGCTAGCAACGCTCCCCTAGCAAACCCATGTATTCCCTTTGCATGTTAAAGTTTCAAGAACTGATCACGTACATGCATCTTATCTTGGACACCCCTGGTTTGCACAGTCTGGTGGCCTCTGTTCACAGAAATGTGTAGGTCCCCTTACTAGGACGTACGCGGATCTGTCAGTACAAGATTTTTGTGAAGGTGCACACCCAAAACCCCCCGACAGACACTAAACCGCCTTAACCCTAAAACCCTAAAACCTAAGCCCTAAACCCTAAAACCTTAATACCTAAACCTTGCATCAGGTCTATTTTCTCCGGCCCTGCT